GGCACGTGTCCCCCTCAATGTATATGGTGACTACAGCCCTGTCATGCATGCATAATTAGGCTGCAGTTGTCTGGGTGCGCAAAGGTGAAGTGGCTGGTCTTGTCATACAAAGTTTGATGAAGTGTCAACTGGACAATATGGAGATATTTGCATCTTGAAAGCTGGACTACAAACATGGATAGACAGGGAGAAACACACGCAAGCCTAAGACGTGATAAGATACGATATTCCTCACTATATGAAGTGACTGATAACAAGATCTGTATAATGGATTGTAAAGAAATTTGTCAGGTTTTTATTTTGTAGACAATTAATCTGGATTTATAGCATGATGGGATGACAGCACAATAATGTGTGTGGTATCATTGGAAAGCTCTGCTCCTGAACTTTCATGTGATATGCGTGGCATTTCTGCACGCATATCACATCGTTTGTGAGTAATCCATCCAAGAGTAGTGTGTGTGCAGAGCTGTATGAAAGCTCTGTTATACATAATTTTAGTGTAATTTTATCATTTTTTTTCCACTGTGAAAACATTGGACTACGGACAAGTGCTTGGTCTTGTCAGAAAGCTACAATTCCGCTGTTTCACGTGATATGCGTGGCTTCTCGCTATGACGCATGGTCGCCGAGAAAATCCACAGAGAAGAACGGGTGTGAATTTGGACGCACTATGCGTCGTTCGGGCCCATAGGGTTAAATTCAATCACCAGAAGTAAAATGCTACACACACAGTTGCATGACTAATGTCGGCCCCACAGCACCGCAGTAAAGCCGTGTTCGGTGTGATGATGTTCTGTAGTCTCATTAAGCCTCTTGTTAGCATCCGACTCTTAAGACACATAGAAGCTTCAAAATTCACAAGTGAGGTATTTACTGGTGTGTTTTATGTCATAGAAGAAAATGTCAAAGTCTCTTAAGCTTGTGTGAACCCCAGACCTTGTTTCAGGCATCTAACCCAAAAACCAGTTGACTTCAAGATGTGGGAACCAGAAGTGCTAACATGCTAACTTATTTCTGGGTTTTAGGACTCATTCTGGGGCACTCAGCAGCATATTCCACTCTGGGGCAGCATATTTGTCAAAATGTAGGACTGACATGCACAAATCTACAATAAAAATAACATGTTTAGTCACGTAGCTGCCAAAGACATCAGCATACTACTACGTTTTTTTTGTAATGCTTGTTATAAAGAAAAGAACCATAATACATTATAAAGATTAGATGATGGCTACTTTAATTTTTAAATCTTTGTTAATGTGGAAAACACATTTTCAGATTTCTTTAATCGCTTGTGCAGCGATCTTACCAATGATTTTTTCAGCTGTCGATGATTCTTATATAGCCTATAGCCCGAACGCTTCACCAAAGCCCTTGATGTGAAAGTGCAAAACAGAGTGTTAAGAGCTAAGTGGCAGGGGCAAGGGGTGTATTGGTATTGAGCCTCACAGACATATTTCAGTATAGATATACAGTACAGGCCAAAAGTTTGGACACACCTTCTCATTCAATGCGTTTTCTTTATTTTCATGACTATTTACATTGTAGATTCTCACTGAAGGCATCAAAACTATGAATGAACACATGTGGAGTTATGTACTTAACAAAAAAAGGTGAAATAACTGAAAACATGTTTTATATTCTAGTTTCTTCAAAATAGCCACCCTTTGCTCTGATTACTGCTTTGCACACTCTTGGCATTCTCTCCATGAGCTTCAAGAGGTAGTCACCTGAAATGGTTTTCCAACAGTCTTGAAGGAGTTCCCAGAGGTGTTTAGCACTTGTTGGCCCCTTTGCCTTCACTCTGCGGTCCAGCTCACCCCAAACCATCTCGATTGGGTTCAGGTCCGGTGACTGTGGAGGCCAGGTCATCTGCCGCAGCACTCCATCACTCTCCTTCTTGGTCAAATAGCCCTTACACAGCCTGGAGGTGTGTTTGGGGTCATTGTCCTGTTGAAAAATAAATGATCGTCCAACTAAACGCAAACCGGATGGGATGGCATGTCGCTGCAGGATGCTGTGGTAGCCATGCTGGTTCAGTGTGCCTTCAATTTTGAATAAATCCCCAACAGTGTCACCAGCAAAACACCCCCACACCATCACACCTCCTCCTCCATGCTTCACAGTGGGAACCAGGCATGTGGAATCCATCCGTTCACCTTTTCTGCGTCTCACAAAGACACGGCGGTTGGAACCAAAGATCTCAAATTTGGACTCATCAGACCAAAGCACAGATTTCCACTGGTCTAATGTCCATTCCTTGTGTTTCTTGGCCCAAACAAATCTCTTCTGCTTGTTGCCTCTCCTTAGCAGTGGTTTCCTAGCAGCTATTTGACCATGAAGGCCTGATTGGCGCAGTCTCCTCTTAACAGTTGTTCTAGAGATGGGTCTGCTGCTAGAACTCTGTGTGGCATTCATCTGGTCTCTGATCTGAGCTGCTGTTAACTTGCGATTTCTGAGGCTGGTGACTCGGATGAACTTATCCTCAGAAGCAGAGGTGACTCTTGGTCTTCCTTTCCTGGGTCGGTCCTCATGTGTGCCAGTTTCGTTGTAGCGCTTGATGGTTTTTGCGACTCCACTTGGGGACACATTTAAAGTTTTTGCAATTTTCCGGACTGACTGACCTTCATTTCTTAAAGTAATGATGGCCACTCGTTTTTCTTTAGTTAGCTGATTGGTTCTTGCCATAATATGAATTTTAACAGTTGTCCAATAGGGCTGTCGGCTGTGTATTAACCTGACTTCTGCACAACACAACTGATGGTCCCAACCCCATTGATAAAGCAAGAAATTCCACTAATTAACCCTGATAAGGCACACCTGTGAAGTGGAAACCATTTCAGGTGACTACCTCTTGAAGCTCATGGAGAGAATGCCAAGAGTGTGCAAAGCAGTAATCAGAGCAAAGGGTGGCTATTTTGAAGAAACTAGAATATAAAACATGTTTTCAGTTATTTCACCTTTTTTTGTTAAGTACATAACTCCACATGTGTTCATTCATAGTTTTGATGCCTTCAGTGAGAATCTACAATGTAAATAGTCATGAAAATAAAGAAAACGCATTGAATGAGAAGGTGTGTCCAAACTTTTGGCCTGTACTGTAAATGACGGGCTGACTAATTAACAATGCCATCAGTGGAGCCACGGCACTAGCAAAGAGATATTTAAATCTTTGAGATTCAGGGGTTCAGTTGCAGCTTTTGTACAGGGAAGGTAACTGATAACATTTTACAGATACCAATGCCAATATAGATTCTGCATATCGATCCCATTCTTTATCATTTACTTATTAATTCCTTATCAGTTTTCTAGAAGAAAAGTAGGCCTACACATGTCTGTAGCGTCACAAATATTTTACTCTCTCTGAGTCTGAATCCAGTGTAGACTGAATTGGTTTTCTTAGTCAAAGAAAAAGTCTGCTAGGTCTGTTTGTGTGGCACTAATGTTATCATAACAGGACATTTAACCTCAGTAAAGGACGTGATGCTCCATTGGGAAGCAGTAGCACTCGTGCGTAGGGTGTCAAATACATGGCATTCCTGGAATTTAAGCTCAAGTTGCGTGGAAGATGTTCCTGCTTCTTGGTAGTGGTTCCACCCTCACTTGGAATGTTCATTTTGCAGACATTAAAGAGGCACTGAAGCCAGGCTTTGGAACGTTTCTCTCTCTATGCCATGGCTCCTTGTTGTTGCAAGTTTTAAGCAGTGCAGACGCATGAGTTTTACGTCACGAGTTTTGCAATGCGCAACTGTCAGATCACTTCCTTTGGTCGATGCCAGCATGTTAATCAGAGCTCAGAGGCATAGAATTTACAAAAGATCGGACAATTTGGAACCGGTTTTTGATTCCTATCCCTACTTTTGTGAGATTTTACAGAAAAATAAAAAATAAAAATTAGGCACTGCTGATGTTCTCATTCACTTTCTAGACAAAAACAAAGAGCATAAACCATCAGAGGGCCTTAAAGTAGCATTTAAAAACAGAACACCCACACTCTTTGCTTCCATTGTACTACAGTCACCCTTGGGTAACTATTACATCATTCACACAACCACACTAAACCCCACTGTGGGCAAATCTCCAGAAAGTGAAGTACAGTCTTGTTCAGTTCCATCACTCCATGACAATGCTGAATTGTCTCCAAAAGCATCCAGCATCCAAAGTGCGAACTTCTCATCGAGCCAAACTGAAGCCCAAATAGTTGTGTTTATCTTTGATACCAAGCCAAAGAAAGAGATTTAGAAACTTCACTGTCTATGGCTTTCTGTCAATGTGTAATGCCTCAGCAAGAACAAACTTTTGCTATTTTGGGTTCATGGCAAGTTTCCACTGGCACTGATCTGACGAGGCATGCTCATACATTGCAGGGAAAAAAGCAGAATTCGTGTTCATAGGTCACCAGCTGTTTTTTTTTTTTTTTTCATCACAGACACACAAATACATGGATGATGGAAATGTTTTTGTATGGCTGCATTCATTAAGATACTAAAAATAAAACAGAAATCACATGTCTCTTGATTCCACATGAGAAATGTTATCAAACTGAACAACATTATGCAGAAACTTTTAAATATTTAACACACCAGTTTCCAAAGTGGTAACCTGGATAGTTACAATTCACAGCTATTAACAGTCACTAGTAGAACAGTATAAATTTTAAAGACGCTGAGCCTGTTGTGTCTTATGAACAGAAAAGTGTTTCTGATTATACTTTGCATTTTGTTCTAAACGGGGCAAAATATATCTCTGATCGAGGGCGATACACCAGTTTCAAGGTATACTGTGATACAAATGTTGACTGTTGTCATAACACGTACATTTGCTTATCTACGATATTGGAAAAAAAATGTGATAGTCTGGTGACCTGTCCAGGGTGTACCCCCCCTCTCGCCCAATGTCAGCTGGGATAGGCTCCAGCCCCCATACGGCCCTCAAGAGGATAAGCAGTTAAGTAAATGGATGGATGGATAATTATTAGATATACGATATAGATATTGTGCAGTGCAACTTTCATTGCTTAATCAGACTGACACAGTTGTCATCAGAAGCTAAACGTTTAGTTCCGTTTCCTCTGTCGAGTTTAGAACTGCAGTTTCAAGTTTGCTTGGTGTTGCTTCAATGTCCCGTGATATCTGCTGCAATGACATCACAGCTCTTACTGCATTAGCATTCAACATGTAATTAGCAATGCGTCACGTTAAGGTGCACCTGGCTGCTACAGAAAATGGGAGATGACACTCTTAAGGGTGGATTCATGTTACGCCCAAAACAACTATGATTAATTAACGGACTAAACACAAGTCCGTTACTCATGGCGCATTACTTTGCACCCAGATAAAGCGCTGTTCAACTCCAAAAGGCCAGTTGGACACGCCCTAAATGCACTTCAGACCTTGTGCTAAATCGTTTCAATCAGGCCCTACATGCTCATGCCACTTTCTTTACTGTCATATTTTATTGACCTCTTATCTTGAGAATCTTCTGTCTCATTTGGTATTTTATGTGTTCAATGTCAGCGTTTTATTGCTCTGTTTCATTTGTGCACATCTCTTTGTGTTTGTATTTTCGAAGAGTTCTTCCTTGAGGAGACTGGCAACCCGATCCTACGGGTTTTGGATCTTTCTTGTTACATGTTTAATTTGTTTTCATGCTGTTTGTATAAATGCAAGTAAGTAAAAACATAGATATGTTCCTACAACATAAGCTGGAGTGAGTCATTTGCCAAATATGTCTTATTTTTAACTTTTGTCAGGGAGTTTTTAAGGGTAATTCTCAGACCTCAGCACAAGGTCAAAAAATGCATGCACCTATTATGTCTATGTATGATTCAAGTGATAAGAGATGTTAATAATTACAGCCACTCCATCAAAAACCTCTCCACCAACATGCCACTCAAAACCGCACCTCTCATACACAACAACACTCCTGAGCAGAGCAAGGGGAAGAAATGTTAACCACTCTGCATGACACAACCATGAGTAGCAGCTCTTTGAAGAGCCAAGAGCAGACACTCCGAATTTGTGTTCCACTTTTCAGTGGAATCCTTGAGTTAATGTTCACACCCTTCTGAGGAACACAGACGTGAGAGCTACTTCAGGAAGAATAAGGGAGAGACAAATACCTTCATGCAAGACATCACGCAGTGTGACTCTCTCCCTCGAGATAGCAATGTCTTTCACTTTAGCTTTGGCCTCGATTAGGGTGACACTCCTCAGGTCATTCTTCTCAATGCGGAGAGAGGGGTAACCTGTGAGGATGGAAAAACACAGACTCGTTTTAAAGGCACGCGTGATCCCAGTGTAAACAAAACACGTTTAAATGGATTGACAGGTCTTTTAACCCAGATTAACACTGGGAAACAACCTGGGGGACTTCTGCTTTGCATCACTTTTGACGGGGACGCATTTCTCACACACAGATAGGTTTCTACTGAAATGCACTCCGTACTGCCGTTGAATTGAGTGAATTCAAGCAATTACAAGAAACACAGTCATGGACAGTACCCTGCGCATGTTGCATCAACGCTAAGGCCTGTATTACAGCACTTACATTACATAACCTACAGACGTACTCAGTGTTAATGGCCGCTGCTTTACTGAGGTCGGAGAGACTCTGGTTTGGAAAAAAGTACACACAACATCCCCCACACAGACGAACAAACATGAGTACACATGACCCCTTTATATCAACACACTCCATGTGTACACAACATGTCAGTGATGAGAGATAACACATTCTAACCTCCTGTGTCTGCAGCTCGCTGCCAGGATGAACTGTGCACAGCTGCTTAGACAGATTGTAGATAAACCAGGGGACAAGGCAGACAATGGGAAACTCACTGAAAAACAACCTCCAGATAAAGTTGGAGGCAGCGACAGTCAATCTGCCCTTGGCCTCTTCTTCCTCTTGTCTGATACTTTGTTCAGAAAACCTGAGTTGTGAGCTCGATGTGTGAGAATGAAGCAGAGGCGTCAAGATGAGGTTTAAATCTCAAAAACAGATCTGGGCTTTATAAGGTACTTTGATTAAATGTTTAAATCTCTGCTGGAGTGTGTCAACTGTATAATGAGCAGTAACACAGTACAGGTCAATGCTGCCCCCTGGAGGTCAAACTAAAAGGGACATTTATTTTCTGCAATTGATGACAAGCTGTGAGCGGTGCTTCCAATTCCGTTGTGCAGTGCGTTGTGGGACAATAGTGTCCATCCAAAGCAAGCTCAACAATTACCTTTTTTTTAAAGTCACTGATGCACACCTCATTTGGTCTGAGTAACTCTTGGTGACCATAAGCTATTGCAACAAATTCAAAAATATTTAAGGGATGTTAGGTCTCCAACAGGATGTATGGAAGAGTTTTGTATTAATAGTATACAGCGATGAGCCAAAACATTCAAACCACTGACAGGTGAAGTGAATAACTTTGATTATTTTGTTCCAGTGCATTGTTCTGCTGGGAAACCTTTGGTTCTGGCATTCATGTGGATACCACCTGACATGTTCCACCCACTCAAACACTGTTGCAGACCAAGAACCCCCCCCTCATGGCAACAGTACTCCCCAATGGCAGAAAAAAGCAGCATGCCACACTACACAAACTGTTTAGAAATGGCCTGTGGAGCGTGACAAAAAGCTCAAGGTGTCGACCTGGCTTCTAAATTTCCCAGGTCCCAATCTGCTCAAGGATTCTTGTGATGTGCCGGTACCCCAGATGTACCCCTAATCCAAGGTGGGGCCTCCTTAGATCGGACTTGGCTCTGACCTGTTGAGGCATGGGCACAGGATCTCTGGGAGTGTCCTGCGGTGTCTGGCACCAGTGCGTTGGCGGCAGATCCATTTAGTCCAGTGGGTTGTGAGGTGGGTTAATGGCACGTGCCACAGATGCTCATTCAGATTGGGATCTGGGGAATTTGGAGGCCAGGTTGACACTTTGAGGTCTTTGTCACATCTTTGGGCCATTCCTGAGCCATGTTTGCAGTGTGGCATTGTGCATTATCTGTCCGTCTTTCTTTTAAGATTGCTGAGGAATTGCTAAAAAATTAACGACTATTTGCGGAATCAATTCATTCATCAATTGTCATGATTCATCAATTAATTTGAAAATCCAAAATGACTTAAAAGTAGTAATAAAATAATGGTCAAAACTCCCATCACAAGTGGTCAGAGCCCTTGTAAACATCTTTATATGACTCGTTTTATCTGACAAACAGTTCAAAAACCAAATATTCAATTTACAATTATATTGAACAAAGAAAAGCAGCAAATCCAAAACAGTTTAGAGGCTTGAAGCAGAAAAGATTCAGCAATTTTCCTTGAAAAATGAATGAAATGATTAATTACTTGTCAAAATTGTCAACAGTGAGTTTAAGTCTGTGAATTGACTTCCTGAATAATAAAATATTGTTTCAGCACTTACTAATGAAGCTTTTCCGTGACTATTCAATTCAAAATACCTTAATAAATATCTGTCTAATTTTAAACACATGGCACATCAAATTTCCCAACAAAGCCGACGGAAAATGTTAGTATAAAGCAGGTGAGATGGAGAGGTCATGATTCTGAGGCTTGAACGAGCCACCAAGAGGAAAGGAATTTTAAAATTTCTATAAAACATGTGCTTTCACTATTCTGTTCACAAAACAGTAGAAATGGGCAAAACATGGTTTAAGTGTTAACGTTCATCACTGCGGTGCACAAGACGACCAAACAGTATTATAGCTCTGAGGATTAAGTCGTCTCTGGCGCTTCACTGACACTTACTTTTGGTTTCATGAGGGGGGACACCAGGGTTTTGGAAGGAGGAGGCAGCAAGCTGGAGAATGGGTGCAGAACCAGGGTGATTGTCTGATGACAAGAGGAGAGGAGAGCGGGCGTGAGAAAGAAGTGATGTAATGGTGAGCTTGCTCAAATTACAACATGACCTGAATGAATGAAGGGTTGTATACTGTCAACTGATAACACACAACACTAATCAAACCAGGCATGCTTGCAAGTTGAGTAAACCTGCCCATCAGGAATTTAAAAAAAAGGGTGGATGGTGGTGCAGATAATCACATTCAGCAAAGCACAGGTTATGAGGAAAAGGCAAGTGGGCATAACAGGAAGTGAGATGTGGGTTTGTGACCACAAGAGGGCGATGAAGGATCATACAATGACAAAACCCACTTAGTCACACAGGCTTTTGATTAGGAATGGTTTATACATATATTATTTACATTATTTTATTCACTTACTTTACTATATTTATGTTGTAAAAGTTTACTCTAATTTATCTTCTATTTTATTATATTTATTATTATTTTATATCTATCATGTTTTATCCTTATTAATTTTAATTGTCTTTTTAGTTTTTTCCCCCGTTTTTTAGGCTAGATTTTATTTTACTATATTATTATATTTTTTTTAATGGAAATTTTATTGTTATTATTTTTATCGTTTTTTGTCTTTTTAATCTACTAAACTAGTCTTTATTTCACTTCTGCTTTACATTTACCACTATTTCTGTTGTTACAGCTTTTAAATCTATTTTCTTACATCATCATTTTTATTGTCTCTCATACAGTGGTCTTAGATTGTTAAATAGTTTTTTGCCTTTGTTGTTTTAATATCCTGTGCTTGCTCTGTCTCATTTTTAGCTGGTCAGTTATCAGGCTTGAATCTAACAACTATTCCTTCAAAATAAAACTGAATACTAACTGAATATTAAAATCTATTCACAAATCTAATTTATAATTGTGTAACAGTATGGAAGGGGAAAAATAGGTGTATTATGGTAAGTTTGAGGATTAAAATGACAGGTATTAAAAAAGAAAAGAATAGATACAGGGATAAATAAATAAATAAATGGATGAATAAAGAAATAAATACAGAGATTATGACCTCCGTCATTGACACAGAGACAAAGAAACAGCAATAAATAAATATAATCGTGCAAAAATGTATAAATAAATGCACGATATTTATTTATCCACTAATGCAATGTTTAATTATCAACATTTTTTCCATGTATTTCCATATGTATTCACATTTATTCATTTATTTTTTGATTTATTTCAGTGTCAATTTACTATATTTTTCCCCACCGTATTTATTTATTCCTGTATTGTTTTCTATTTTTATTTATTGAATGATTTGTTGATACTTAAGCCATGAAAAGCCTTCTGACTAATGAGATATTTGTCAAAATGTCATATGAATTCTGGGGCTGCTGTAACAATGGTGACATTTTATTGTGGCAACCTTGACTCTCATTTCGTGGCCCTGTCACTTGCACTGTAATAAAAAGGCCAAATCCACATGATAAACACAAACTGATCAGTGTGAAGCCTGCCAGAATATTCTTTTTCTTTCCACTAAAACATCACAGATTTACCCATAATTATAATGGGAGCCAGTCAAGACAACAAGAGCTGGCTGAGTAATCACACTGCCTCTGAACACCACCAACAACTAACAAAGAGCTAAAATGTGCCAGACACTCACTAACTGTATAATCCACTGAGGTAGGGAAGTCAGATGTTTCGATTTAACTCTTACGATAACTTTGTTACTGTGTGTCTGTGTTCCCCACCTTGTTCTATATTTACATCAATATAAAAGCCTGCTTGTGCTTCTCTTAACAGCTGAACACTTGGCCTGACGCAAAGCACACAGTGCGCACATTTACACATTGCTCAGTAGCACCATAAAGTCAGAAACCATCACTGCAGGAGCTCTGTGTTTCATTACAATCTTATGATATTAGTTAGGCTAATTAGGTCATTCACAGTCCATTACTGCATGTGGCAAAGCACGCACAGTTGCAGATGCCAATGTGAGAAGAGGGAAAACAACTATGTCAATCTGAATCAGGCTGAATGTAATTCTAGGTGCCATTTCATAACATGAACTGATGCTACATCTTGTTACTGAATCTGATCGCCTGTGGGTAATGTGGTGAGAGGGGGTGAAATCTCTTACTGGTGACGGGGGCAGCGTTGTTTGGAGTGTCAGCCCTCAGGTACTGTGTGGTCTGTGTGGACGGCTGAGACAGGCCCTGCGAGCTACCGCTGTCACTCACGCTGAAAACAAAGAAATACAGAGTCGTTATACAGAGGCACCAAGGATTTTTATGAGCAGAGATTTGTAAAGCTGTAACTAAGTTTGCATGTGAAGTCTCTTCTCACTTCTACAAGCTAGTCTCAAACCAGTGATTTACTAAATGGGGTTCCAACGTTAGACCTGAACATCTCAGCTAGGGAAGATCTTAGTAATGTGTAAACCAGTTTCCTGTAACTTAATATAGTGTGCTGCAGATAATGAGCATCATCAGCAGTTTTCTTTTTATGTAAAATGCCAAGTGTAATCAGTGGGAAAATTTCCTCGCCATGGCATCGCTACTCCCTGACAGGACTCCAAACTTCATTACAAACTAACTTAAACTTTAAATACTAGGGCTTATCAATTCAAATTGGTTATTTTCTTGACAGTTAGTCCATAAAATTACAGAAAACGCAGGAGAATATTCATCAGAATTTTCCAGAGCTGAAAGTAACATCTTCAGTTTCTGTTTTTGTCAGACCAACACTCCAGAACCAAAAAATACTCAGTTTCCTGTCATAAAAGACAACAAAAACATTTACATTAGAGAAGCTGAAACCAGTGAGGTTTTTTAACATTTTGCTTTAAAATTATTCTCAAAATAGTTGCCACACGAATTTTCTGTTGATCGACTAATCTAATTGATTAGTCAACGACTCAGTTCAGCTATAAAAGACAGAAAAATACCTTGCTCAGAAACTTGATCAGACAGACCAACAAATATTCCTATATAAAATAAGGATTCCATAATGATCAAATCAAGGCCACTTTACAACAACTTATTTTAAGATTTAATTATCACGAGTCAGATTTCCACAGAAAGTGAGAAAACAATCTTGGTATAATTTAAATTTATTGTCCTGAAGGCTCATCTCTTCAGATCTCATTTCACATCAATAACCAGCGTGGCTGCCTACAGCCATCTGGAGTCGAGATTACAGGAAGCGAACAACGGGAGATCTTAAGTGCAGGTTTCAACTTGATATAATCCTCTCTGTGGAGATGACCTATTTTTGTTCGTCTTTGAACAGGAGCATTCTGCAGAAAACACTAACATAACTTCCACAGGTGACAGATACACGGCTGTAAGTCTGCTGCGCTGTGTGCTGGTTTTCATCAGTTTCAGTATAATGAGTGTACTCGGCTTAAATGACTCATAACAAAAGGTCTGTTTGGAACCAGGACAAACCAGAGAAACAAACCTGTCCTCCATCTCCACTCTCTTCATGCTGTGCAGGTGCAGGATGGCCAGGATGATGGCCACAAGGAAGATGACGATGCAGCAGACGCTCACGCTGATATAGAACACCTGGGTGGAGGTGGTGGGGGCGGTCACACCGTCGACTGACGAGAACAAGCCATACGTTAAATAGCAGCAAAGGTGGGACAATGGGTAATAAATGCACACAAATACCATCACCATTACAGAAAGCTTCAACAGTGTTTGCTACTACGAAAGAAGCAGAGCAAAGATATGGAGGATGAAAAGTGACTGAAGTATAATAAAAAAAAGATAAATAAAAAATAATGATAATAAAATAAATACAGGAATTAGTAAAAATAAAAACAGAAATAAATAAAAAAAATAAATTGTATTTTCTTACATAGACAATTGTCTGTTTTCATGTGGTGCGCTATGGGCCTTTCTCTGTCCTTAACAAAGTCATTATAATTATTATTATTATTATTATTCGTAATATCAATAAATAAATAAAGGGATAAATAATTGCTGAAATCAATACAGAAAAAATTAAATAACTGAATAAAAAAAACTTACATAACTTACATAAAACTATATTTATTTAGTTTTTCTGTGTCTGTATGTTACTGAGATAGAAGGCCCAAACCTCTGTATTTCTTTCTTTATTTATGCATTTATTTCTTACATATATTATTCAGCATTTACTTATTCTATTTAGTTATTTTTTTTTTTACACATTTATTTATTTATTAATCATTACTTTGTTGGTCAATTTTCTTCCTCTATACAGGTTAAAAACAAGACACAGCACTTAAGAAACTTGGTAGAATGGGGTTATCGTTGCACAAAAAATACCATCCTCATTAATGAAAGCCTTCTTAATTTTTGTACAACTTTTAATTAATCTTCGTATTTTTGTGTGTGTGTGTGTGTTAATGAGGTAGGAGGTCCTAACTGCTGCATTTATTTCCTTATTCATTTATTTATGTATTTATTTTAGCATTTATTTATTTATTTTATTTATGTATCCGTTTAAACATTTATTATTTATATTTAATTCGTCATTTTTTCTCCTCCATACGTACTGACAATCAGACACAGCAAAAGAAAAACTTGGTAAACAAAAAGTACCACCCTTATTACAGTGTTTGCTATTATGAAAGAAGCAGAGCAAAAATATGACGTAAGGCGATGAGATAAAGACATGAGTGAGAGAGAAAGAAACTATAAGTGCACTGGGGGCTCCACTTAGGCTTAATGGAGGCCTGGAAGAGTAGAAGCTGTGCCCAGGATCCAGTGTCTGAGAGCTTTTCTCATCACCTCTCTAAAAGCTTCTGAGGGCCCCAGGTTCTGCGGGCCTACCCAAGCAGAAGAGAGACATCCCACTAATGGTACTTTGTTACTGGGGCAGTGGGCTCACAAAGAGTCTGAATAAATCCCCCTGGAAGAGGACCGCCACTCCAAGGGGGTGGGGGGTGACAGAGTGCACTTCAATAGGAGAATGAATCCTCCTCTTTGAGCTCATATGCCTTGGTTATGGAAAGTTTGACTAATGTGCACTGCTATACAGAGAGACTTCTCAGCACTAATCTGGCCACCGTCTTGTCAGGCTGATGCCACCTATGATAAACAATGCACGGAGCTGCTACTGAGGGATAAGTAGAGCAGGATGTGGAGGGAAGATTACTTACAGTCAGGCCGTGGAAGAGTGTTGTTGTTGGGGGGAATGGGAATCTTTGGGTCGGAATCGATTCCTGTTCACACGGAGAGAAGGACAGAAAATTATATCAGCTCTGGTGAAAATATACAGACTTCATTCACACAACCCCAGCATAATATGTAAAACAAAACCTTATGATTAAACTAAAAACGGCCTTGATAATGGCTGAAATCACATACACCCAGGACACAGAGAGCAATGTATTTCCACCACATCTCAAACTTTCTTTCAACATAACCCTGTACATGTGGTCTCTGTAATTTAGCAATGTTGTCTGTGGTGTTTTAATAAGTGTTGGGAAAAAAAAAGCAGAATCCTCAAAGCTGAGATACCCATATTAGACTTTGACCATATTGTAATTCAATTGAACTGAGAGAAAACTAGACTTCTGCAGACTTTAGAAAATCTAGTTTGGAGACGCTGGCCAATCAAAGGTCATTTCAGTGACAGGGCGTTCCTACTGGCTGTTCTACAAATGCAAATGTGCATGCACTTTGTTGAAAGCCTGATTCAATGGATGAGAATCCTGCAGAGAAAGGTGCTACTCCAGCATTGGCAACAATTGCGTACACTGCAAGGCAACCCAAAAAGAGAGTCTAAAAGAGAGTATGGCTGTAAACAAATAACTCACATGTCAATATCGGCAGAAGATTTCAGAGATAAGGAGAACATAGCTTAGCTTTCTGCTAAATGGAGCTGATGGCTCATGGCTGCAGCTTTGAGTTCAGGTTCATGTATCTAACATTAGCTAAAGCCTCGAATCACCCACCACTACACACCACCTCGCCAGGAGGAGAGCAGGCAGCAGCTCTGCAGACAGACCCCCAGTCATCCACAGCAACCTAAACCCCAGCTCTGGAGGACAGGACATCCAAGACTCCCTGCTGAATCAGCAAACTTTCTGTTGCTGCCGTTACACAGCTCAGACCTGCCGCTGCTGCCTGCTACCTGCCTGGATTGGGGGGGTTTGCACTGGTCAAATTCGAGCCGCTACATCTGCCTACCGAGGACCACATCTGCAAAGCTGCAACTAATTCTTGTCTCATTTTTGGTCTGATAAACAGAATCAGAGAACGTACATATGCCTGTGGTCGTCTGGTGGGAGGGACTTAGGACAGGGATCGTCAGAGCTGCAGAGGAGGGTATATTTTCAAATTCTGCTGTTTTCTTTCTTTTCCCCTACCCCAACTTTAAAGCCAATTAAAACCATCAGAAGACTAAATGATAGGAAACAAGAAAGTGCAAGATAAAAAGCAGGAGGGCTTGTGTTGGGTTTTGCTGATCAACTAATCACCAACATCTAGTATTCTTCACTGTTAGTTCATAGATGACAAGAAGGGACAACCTCGCAAGCAGGGATTTTGTTAGATGCCCAGGAGCACAAACCTGGAATAGCTTTTATAGGTTAAGCTTCCTAAAAATTCTTTGAGAAGTTCCAGTTGTTAAAAACGACTATACGTCAGTAAGCTTGGGGCGCAATTAAAAAATTAAAACAACATGCATACATCATCATTTATCCTCTGCTTTGGGACTACAGACACTGGTCTAGAACTAAGTTGACAGGTATGATTTCTCAGCGTGCACTCTAAGCACCACCCAGGCAAATAAAGATTCTCTTATGGCTGCTAATTTGACTCATGCTCAAAATAAGATGGGAATAAATTGGTTTCCATGTGGAATATGGCAAGAAGCCTCCTGGCCACATGTAATTATCTTCAGGCAGATTTAAAAATAGCACAGAGCTGAACACAGAACACAAAAACCTGTTCATCTCCCACTGTAACTCTTCAGAGCATCTGACACACGGTGCTGACACACAGTCAGTAAATCACTAAAATTCTCCACACACTCAGTGTTTTATGTTGAATATATTTTGGCACAATTTATTTTATTATCACAGCAGATATTTTGAAAATGTCAAAGCAGTAATATGGAGGATGAAAAATTACACGCCAAGGAATAAATATATATGGAAATAAATACAGAAATAAATAAATAATAAATAAATGCCACAATTAACATAGAAATAAATAAATAAATGCAGATTTCAGTAAATAAATGCAATTATTTAATTATTTTCACATTTATTTCTATATTTTTTATTTATTTGTGCACTTATTTATTGTTGCATTTATTAATACATTTTATTTATTTATTATTTTATTTCTGTACATATTTATTTGTTCCTGTATTTATTCATACATTTATGTATTTATTTTCTTATTTATTTGTTCCAGTATTTCTTTACACTCTTACATAGATACTAAAGTCCTTTTCCATCCTCCATACAGAAAAAAACAACAACAACAACAAAAAAAACAGGTGTTACTAATAATATTAATGATAGCTCAGTTCCACCGAAATGTCACAGAGAGCCAGCAGGAACAGCCATCATTACTGTTATTAATTACACCTGTGCTTTCCCTGCTACTAAGTATAAAGATGTCAGCTATGAAAAACTACATATGGACAAATAATGATACTGACTAAAAAAGAAAAGAAAAAACATTCAGTAAGGCTGCACCCCCGTCTCGATGCGTACCTTTAACTGCACATCTGTTTGGATTATTAGCTGATTTTTAAGATACTTACTCTTATAGCACATTTTCCTCCTCTTGAAGTTGAGCACTGTGTAGTTGTTGGCATGGATGGTCAGATTGAGCTGCACAGTTAAAACAGCCTCTCCATCGACCTTGCCGGAACAGAAGAGGTCCACTCTAAAGACTGGGGAGAGATGAACACACGTGTCATTTAGAGAAACTTGGCCCCCTGCAGCACATAAAACTATGCCAGGAATCACTCATCACAGATGTATGACATCACTGAATTATAAAGATTAGGCTTTTACTTAACTCTGCTGTAAAACTTGTTTAAGTTGAGCACAATCCTACAAATCTAACAATGTCGTATACAACTCTGCCACTCCTACTGTCACATTACAGTATACTCAGAAATGATTAAATTAATTTATCAAGGAAAAAGTCTAAAGCAACTCCCTTGTCTGTGAGGTATAATACAGCATATTTTTGTCAAAAGGAATCTGGTGGCTTTGAAGAGAAATATATAAAGGCTTCAGTTCAATGTTGGAAAGGGTACCTCATACAACCCCACTTCATAAAATCTGAACTAACCTTTGTAGTCATATTTTAATTATTAGAGCTCTAACCTGTGTCACTTCTGTTTTGCTAACAGCTGAGTGGGTGTTTCCATTTGAAAAACCTTTTTAAGTCTACAACCAAGAAGCACATAGGAGCCCTATGAGCATGTGACACAACAAAAGGCGAATATCTGACAAACCAGAGGGAACACGGGGCACCTCCCCCTGACTGGAGATGTTGCTCCGTGGTTGGTTCATGGCAATAGGATTCTCCATGTGGAAGCCAAGCCGGTAGTCAACCTACAAACAAAGAATGATGAAGAAAAGGATGTAATAAAATGTTTGGCGTTTAAAGGGACCTTGGTGTTCAACATCTCTGACAAACTGTGTGTGCTTGGAATGTATCCAGAGGACTTCATTCAATCACTGAAATAGACTAAACTTCTGGACTTTGGACTTCTTTAAGCCAGGAGAGCTATTGCATCATGTTGATATGTTTTGACGCTGCATCACTGAGAATGTGGATAAAGGAGCTATCTGAGGGTTTAGGTCTGGAAAGACTAACTTACATTTCTAAGTTTAAGTGGAAAGACTTATTTCAGCTCTGGGAACCAAATATGAACATTATGAAAGGAGGAAACATAGGCATTATCTGATCAGAACTTTAAAAAATTGTAAGGTAATAATTTGATTTATTGATATTGTACCTGATCTCTGTGCAAGTAGAAAGTATGAGTGTATTTAGATGTGTCTGTGTAGTGTGTATTGTATATTATTTTAGTTTCAAACCATTGTACTATTGTTATGTATTTCTTTGATGTGTTGTCAATAAGATATGACAATGACAATAAACATATTGGGGGAAAAAAGCATGCACTGAAATGGTTATCCAATAGCCCTGTACAATGATTGCACTAAAGGGCTGCTAAGAAGTCCCTTCTTAACTCTGCTTATCCATTTTTACACAGAACCAAACAGCGACATCATCTCCAGTGAGTGATTTTAGATAGCTTAGCAGTAAACACGGCGCTTTCTAAACAATACTTGGCATAACATGGCAATACCATTAATTTACTACCCCTGTTTTTGGAGGCCAATCTTACTCTCTGCTCAGAGGGTAAGGAGGTCCCAGACCTCAGTGAGTGCGTTTACACGGACAGTTTAATTCCCTTTTCATTCGGAATGAAAGTTCATTTCTATTAAAAGTGATCTTGTAAACACCTAATTCGGAATGAAAATGGCCAATGCTAAAATGACCATGCGATTGCAAATTCATTCCAATGTAAGGGGCTGGAATACTTCTAATTTTCCGTTTCTAATTCCGAATGAAAGAATTTCTCGCACTTGTATACACTCATTCCTCTTTCAGTTCATTCCGGTGTTTCTGCGCATGCGTTTCCTTGCCCCTCTGGCGTGATGACGTATATAGCGTGCGCGACAAGATGGCAGCTTCTAAAAACAAGAGATGGTCCAGAGTGATCGTCTATCTCCCTTCTTCGACCTTCTATCTCTCTTCTCCTCCTCAACAGACGAAGCATTAGCAGAACAAGGTTGTTGTCATACTGCTGCTTCAAGAATATAAGCAAAATAAGCCTGAAAAAGGCACTAAGAACGGCGGCGTCAAGTATCTTGTTATGGACTACAGTGTTTTCTTCCAGTAAACATAAACACGCAACATCCGCTCCACCCCCTATCCAATCAGAAACCTTCCCTGCCCCAAACCTTGCACGGACCCGAATAAAGGCGATTAAACTGATCTCCCGTGTAAACCCTCATTCGGAATGAATATTTCTCATGTAAACTACCTGGAAAAACTTTAATTCCGAATGATTTCATTCAGATTTATTTCATTCTGATTGAGAAGCCATCATGTAACCACACCCATTGTCTCAGTGTCTTACAGACATTTTCGGCTGCTGTTCTTCTTTGAGTTAGCTGCTAACCACTGCTGGCTGCTTTTAAATCTCTCTGGGGTTGTGTCACACACATAACACACAACCATGGTCCCATCCTGCCGGCTGGGATGCTATTACTACTTTCGCTGCTGGCCTAAAGGCGAGGAAACTCTGTCCCCACATTTCACAATTATACATTTTTATAAAGAACAGCAAGGCTGAATAATGGCATTAAATTCCCACTTTGAATGGCAGTGTAAAAAGAGCAAAAAACTCCAGACTTACCTTTGTCTTGGAATGCCATGAGAAGTGAAGACTGTTGGTTTCGCTGGGCACAGGCAGGGTGAAGGAGAGGGCATAATGATTCACCACATCATCTCGCACATAGTAGAGCTCTGCGTCGAGGCCTGCGTGAGGACAGAGGACATAAAATTGCACCTTATGAGAAAGAGTTGAGATCATTTACTGAATATTTTGGAAATCCAGATAAAAACCACTACAGTGTACATAAAAGGCAGGACATTTTCTAATTTAGAGGTAGATTTAGACACTCACACAGAGCAAGCCTGAGGAAAATGGTAAAATATCCACTCAAACTGCCAGCTTGGATTAGGGGGGTTTCCCCACAATAAAAGAGATGGACTAACCACATCTGTTAGTACTTGAGCCCTCGTAGTGCCCAAGTGAAAACTTCAAAACGTTCAAGTGAGACAACATCCAAATATGACCGCAATTTTCTATCCAGGAAGCAAAACTGGGCAGGGGAAGGGTTAAGAGGAAGGGACTGGAATGCTTTAGATCAAAAGGGGACTTGCATACATCAACCGTTCAGTCTTTAGTGAACATATAGCCTAGGAAATGTCATAGTACATGATCATCAGAGAGTGGGATGGGTTGGTAACATGTTGCGTTTCTGTCTCATTCACATGAACAGGCCTAAAAAAGTTTTTTCACTGGCATTACAGCTGCATCAAAAAGTAATACAAGTCTAATGTGTGTGGGTGAAATCCCCAACCCCAGCCTGGGGCGGTGCTATCAGTCCTTGAAAGCGTAGTCTGGCAGAGTGGGGTCTGTCTATCAGTCTGTGAGTATCTAGTTTAAAGAGAGGGGAAGAATGTGCCCAGGCTCCCCCAATACCCTCGGGCTATCTCAAAGCACCAGCTCAGAGACCTTTCTCACATTGGCTCAATTAAAAACATTCTCAGGCATTTACCAACTCAGAGGGGACGGATGTCACATACACTACAATCGAACCAAGCCTGAAGAGTGAAAGTGCTGGATTTCCATTCTTTCACTAAAACAGATAGTTAAAATAAAATGTGAGTTTTTACATGTAAAGTTAAAAATACAGACCCCATCTCATGTTCTCAGCACTGAGACAATTATAAATGAGCAAAATTGGTAAAACGTATCTGTAGGCAGAACATTTACCTGCTCCAAAGAGCCAGCTGTGGCCCTCCACACAGAGTCCTGCATGGATCTGATTTTCAAGACCACTCCTGAGCCGGCACCGCGACGTGGAATACCGCACCGGGCCCCTCACCCACACATATGACTAATCGCTTGTGCAACCCTGACTCACTGACAAGATCGGCAGCCTGAACCAAAACTGCAAATCCTACATAACCATGCACTGTTCAAATAATCTGATTAGACAGCATGTTAAAAGTTATCATTTTGGGCCATTTCTTACATGTGAAATTAGGGTATATTTCTTTATCACATAATATTGAGCAGCACATCTCCACAGTTAACATGCCAGTTCGTAACGCATCTGACTGAAGCCGCTCTCTTATTCTAGCTGGTGAAAACAACAAAACCTATCCGATCAACATTCTTGGGTTCACCTAGAACTGAACCCAGACACTGATTTAAGACAAAATACCACCTGTGAATAACCTTTTTTGCAGGTCATCCACCGGGTGCCTCAAAATCCAGCTTCTTCACCTGCGAGATTGTGTGAGACCAGCCTCTGAGACGAGCTTCTCCAAGACAGTTTCTGACAGTTTGTGCAGAAATTCTTTGGTTGTGAAAACCAATTATTGCATCATCTGTCTGAGTGGCTGGTCTCAGACCATCTTGGAGGTGAAGACGCTGGATGTGGACGTCCTCAGCTGGTGTGGTTACACATGGTGTGTATTTACGAGGCCAGCTGGATGTACTGCCAGATCAGCTAATGGTAGTGAAATAAACATTCAGGTCACAGGCAACAGCTCTGGTCAACAGTGGTATCTGTGGCATTGTGTGAAAAGAAACTGCACATTTTAGAGTGACCTTTTATTGTGACCAGCCCAAGGCACACCTGTGTAGTCATGATCAGCATTTTGATAATCCACACCTGTCAGGTGGATAGATAATGGAGTCAAAGCGCTCACTAACACAGATTTAAACCAATTTGTAAACCAAGTTTGAGAGAAAGAACCTATTTCAGGGTTTCCCACACATTCATTTATTCGTGGCAGTCCACCACGATAACATTTGCCACCTACTGATTTTCTATTTTTGAAGCTGGATCTGTTCTTGGGAGTGCTGTTGGAATACATATACCATTCAGTTTTTTATAGCGCCACACTCTCAGAGCGCAGAGCGTAGTCTGGGCACAGACAGAGCGGCAAAAGTGAAACTTAACCGTTTATTAATTTGTACAGAAATAGAACGCCCTACTCTTAGAACAACAGCACACCTATTTTAGTATTGTCCAGCATGTTTCCAACCTACTTTAAATGAAACCTGCTGCAGTCCCATGTAAACCGTGCATCCCGTGGTCCAGCACTGGGTCTTTTTGTTTGCTTTCAGTTTTGATCAAGCCAAAGCAGCCTGCGCTGCTTTCACAGACCCGCAAGAAACCTTCGAATTCAGAGAGGGGACACAGATTGATCACAAAGGGACACAACTAAACACACACACTATAAAGTCTGCTGCTGATGCACAGCATCATTTCAACATTTTCAATCTTTTATTTCAATTCGTGAAAAATGGGAAACAAACGATGTTGTGGATGTATTGTATACACTTCACAGATGTACAAGGGGCAACACAGCTTAGCCCTGTTATAATTACCTCTCTCAGGCTCAACTCTCTGCACCTCCCTCTTCTCAACATGGGGCAGCACTGCTTTGATACCAATTAAACTAAGCAACCAGGCATAAAGGCCCAAAGAGGACCAGTGTGAGTCTGACTAAAGTTTGTCCCTCCAACAGCACCATAGCCATCCACCCTCGCTGCAACAACTTCAAAACAGGAATGTGAAAGAATGGCAACAGGAGTCTGTCAGTGTACACAGACCGAGGGCAGGGAGTGAGTGGTTCCTGAGGTTTCATCACTGACTCACACTCTCTGCTCTCTGGACGGGGAAACAGCATTAGTGGAAGGTGTGCCTGTAAACAAGATTCCTCTTAGTTAATGTTTGGTCACAAAGAGCCTCACTGCATTATCGTGCTGTTTGCTGTGACAGATCCAAACGTCTCTAATGCTAACAGTCCTCTTTAACACTAATGGAAAATAACAACACCATCAGTTTGAATTCCAGTGTGATAACTTGGCAGCGTGTTGTGTTGTGAGGAATTATTTCCTGCAGGAAATTTCCATTTCTCTCTGCTGGTGTCAAGTGATTAACAATAGCGAGGGCAGAACACACTGTATCACCTGCACTGATGTAAAAAAACACTCACTCAGCACACTTGAGCACGCTGAAATAACAATGACAGAGAACATCTACATCAACACTTCATGTTTGCAGTAATAAATCCTCTATTTTTACATTTTAATACTGCATGAAACACACGACAGCAACTTTTGTTGGTGAAATAAATCTTTAAAAGAAATGACTGCTGTATTCATTCATCATGTTAAAATCATATCGATACCTCACATGTGCAGCCTGTAATGTGAAAATCATTTCTCATGAATTAACCTAAACAAGAGGTCAGTAAGTCCCTCGATTAATCAGCACAATCTAATGCATACAACTATGTTTAAATAAAACCTGTCTTTAGTGATGTATAGTTTGGCCCACAGTGACATGTAGCCATAATAAGCAGCTGTTAAAATCATCTGTTCATGCTCGGCATGCACAAGTACATGATGTGATATTGTTTAATGACAAATTGGTGAAATTCATCATCATATATCAACTAAGTGACCTGATAAACTGATCATACTATTGCAAAATAAACAATCACACAAAAGCTAGGGCTGGGAACTGAGAACCGGTTCCAAATTGTCAGAGAGTATCAATTCCTTTCATCGATGCCGGCATGTTTTTCTGACAGTCCTCGCTGCCGGAAAGTTGCAACGAGGAGAAGTCATGGCAGAGAGGATGGAACGGTCCAAAGCATGGTTTCATTTCATGATGACAGATGACAACAGTGCTGCTTGCAATGTTTGTAAAATGATTGTTTCAAGTACAAGTGTAAACACTAGCAATATGCTGAGACATCTTTCTGTAAGATACTGGCTTAAATTCCAGGAACGCCATGTATTTGAGACTTTATACACTTTAGAAACTTCCTATACTAACTGTTAAAGCAATACTAAAAAGTTGGGCTCACACTGAAAGGCCTACTTTTTTCCCCACAGAGAAAACTGATCAGGAATCAAAAACGGAATCGATAAAGAAAACAAACCAATAAAAATAAATGATGATGGCACTGGCACCAAAATCTCATCATTTCCCATCCCTAACTAAAGCTCCGTCATCCTGGGCAGTGCAGTGCTAGTCTCTGTTGCTCTTCTCTTTGTCTTCACACAAAGCTTTTCAAAAATCTTTTTAGCAAGTGACAGCATTGTGCACAGAGGAAGAAGGGCCCTTAAATAACTTTTTATGGTGTAACTGCTTGAATCATAGCGGTTAAAAAGAATATGTGAAGGAAAAAGCTCGACATGTGAAAAACATGAATTCCACAAGAATAACTTCAGTCCCAGTCATTAAAAAACTATACCCTCTTCTTGAAGTGAGAGACTCAGCGACTAACAGGCAAACTATAGTCAAAGACAGTAGAGAGGGACATGATTAAAGGGACATTGTGTAACATTTTCAGTTGTTTATTGGCAAAAATTGATGTCTGCATTCATAAATATGTCATCACCGGTGTACTATTACCTGCACCAATAATCTGACTTATTCTCGTAAAAGGAGAATTTCGGATTTGTTTGTACATTGTGCGGGTAAGTCGTCTGTGGGGTTCCATTACGTTTCGCCATCTTGAGAATACACCCGCCAGCAAGGGACATACAGCACCGCCTTCGGCGTTTTCGTTGAGAGCCAGGCCAGTGCTGCGTGACTGAGGAGCCGAAGGATAGGAGCAAGAGGCGCTTCGCTATTACCCTGGCAAATCTGAAACAAAGTCCCACTCTTTGAGCATAATGCAGGATCATGCATATGCAGCATCATGGGAGACGGAATCCT